CAACTACAGTTCACAGATTTCATTAAGACTTAGGTGAGTTAATTGCTGTATTGTTTTCTTCTTCTTTTAGGCTCTACTATTATTATAAACTAACTTCCTTAAGTGACCTGTGTCGAACCAAGTGATTGAGCGTGCATTATGAAAAAACAGTCGTAAAATAGTATTAACAAGGTTGTACTTTTACGAGCTGTCCAGCATGGCTCTTGGGCAGCACACAGAACTTGCAACAAGTATAACAGTTAGCAGCTTCATCGCGTTTTTCATTTTTTCTTCAGTAGTTTCCAGCGATGACGCGCTTTAACGCTCTGCCCCAGAGAGTGTCCGGCGCTCAGAGCGTGTTCCCGCCCCTGCGGCGCGCCCACTCCCACTTCAAAGGCTTCCCTTCACTCTGAGCGCTGTGACGTCACTGAAACACGAGGCGCGCTCCAGCAGAAGAGGTGCGGGAGCGCAACAGGCGAGCGCACATCTCGAGTTCACAAGCACAATGACAACTTCCTGATACATCAACTAAAAGTTAAGCCGAACTCTTTGCACTTTTGTTTGAAGGCAGCGCTGGCTCTCTGCTGTTATCTGCGTGTGGTGCTCTGACTGATGACGAGATGATTTCATCACAACTCACTGGAGATTTGCTGAAGTGGACATCTGGATTTGGGATCCTGTGGTACCTGTTGATTCTGTGCGATTGCTACAATCTGGATGTGGAGCATCCTTTAGTTTTTAACGGACCAAACGGATCATTATTCGGATACTCTGTTCTGCTTCACCAGCATAATGAGAACACATGGTAAGAGTTTGAGGCAACTTCATTGGAAAAGTTAACTAAGTTAATATTTGTTGCGCGGATTGTACCTATAGTCAGGGGCGTTTTCTTCATGTTTGAGGACTTTTTTCGAGTAGCTGTTTTATGTCAGTTGAGGGAATGAAATGAAATATATTCTCAGAGTAAGTATTGTAGCTTTTACCATTACAATGAACTTTAAAGGGATAGTTCGTGCAGAAATTAGACTAAAAAGTGCTCACAATTTTCTCACACTCAAGTGCTTGACCTCTATGAGTCTCTTTCTTCTGTTTAACACAAGTTAAGATGTTTTAAAGAAAGCTGTAATCCTGTAACTATTGACATATTATGTAAAAATGCATTGGAAGTCAATGGTTATAGGCTTCCAGCTTTCTTCAAAATATCTCCTTTTGTGTTTAACAGAAGAAAGAGACTCATAAAGGTTTGAAACAAGTAAAGAGTGAGTAAATTATGACAGAATTTTTATTTTCATGTAAACTAACACTTCAAATAGTATACAAGTATACATTTATACACTGTCTAATACTGACAGTAGGCTTTATAACAGTTTGAAGGGAGTGGTTCTTCACATGCATTGTTTGAGAGAATCCAAAATATCACATTCAGACATGCTTATGTGGAATATTGTGAAATGTATCGAATATTGCAGAAGATCATGTGAGCGTATCTCATATGAGCATGTTTTTGCCCCAAGTCCTGGTCAACTGACCCTGACTTCATGGCTGTAGAACATACAACAGTAGATGGCTGAAATGCTCCATTCATATCTGTGCTTGCTGCTTTTAAAACCTCCATTCATTCAGAGACTACATTGTACTAATATCCATTCCTTCCGTTCATAATTTATAATGAATCATTCATTTAACAATATAGATTTTATATTTATATTTTATTACACATTATCACAAAAGACACTTTATACATAAACTAGTACTTACCCAGATTTACTCATAAATCAAATCAGTACGTTCTTTTTTAATGTTATATTTATTGTTCAGGTTGTTAGTTGGAGCGCCTGTGGCCAATTCCAGCTTTTATCCTAATATCAAAAGTCCTGGAGCCATCTACAACTGCAGTATGTTGAACAGCCAGTGTGAGCAGCTCCCTGTTGGTAGGTTTTCCCTCCATTACCTTATCAAACGTTCCGCTAGCATGATGTTTCACTGCATCTATAAGTAGAATTGTTTTTAAAAGTTAAATAGGATGTGGTGATTTCCAACTAGGGCTGCATGGTGTTGGAAAAAATCTGGCATTGCAGTATTTTGTTTTTCTGTGATATATATTGCGATATACAGGTAGTTGGAAAGAATTTTTAGTCATGCTTTATTTTAAGGTTCAGCTCTCACTCATAGCAAACCATTTTGCCTTTTCTTCAATAAACTCCTAATTTGCTACTTATTACGAGTTATTGTGGTAGTTTAGGTATTGGGTAGGATTAGGGATGTAGAATAAGATCACACAGAACATGTGCTTTATAAGCAGCCAATATCTCAATTACATGCATGCTAATAAGCAACTAGTTAATAGTGAGAACTGGTCTATGAAGTGTTACCGAATGTATTCATTTTGATTGACTGGGGGGATTCTGTAGGGGAGTGAATCATGCATAATGTGATAAACAAACTACAAGCATAGACAAATGTAACAAAGCAAAGATACAAGTGAAATAAACAGTGCATGCATTATGGTTTTGTGTGTATGTGTAAAAATTACACTGCAAACTCAACTAAACATTGCAGGTCTTTGCGATGTGACTATTGCGGATGCACACATTGTGATATTGATGCTGAAACGATATATTGTCCAGCCTTATTTCCAACTAATTGTATTGTAGAATAACATTACCAGTTTTATCAATAACACAATAAGTAACACTTTAGTTAAAGTACCAATAACCTAGTTTAACTACTGGTATATTCCTAAGATATTGGCTTTTTATTAGTACTTAAAAGTATGATCTGCATACCTAATTCTACTCTATACATAAAACCAACTACTACTTTACTGTTAATATGAAGGAAATTAGTAGTTTGTTGAGCTGAAAGTCTTAGTTAATGGTTTGTTAATAGTAATATTAAAATAAAGTGACTAAACAGGATGTAATGTGTCGATAGTACATGTGGGGTCTAAATGCTTAGCAAAGCTTTAAAATATTGAGCAATTCTATGCAAATGTCAACCTTGCCATGAAAGAAAATTATGTTTTCACCAAAATAGAGAAACCGTTTCTACATATTTTGTGTAAGCAAGTATTTTACGGTACTTTTAAAAATGCTCAAAAATGTCTCAGTCAGTGTTTGCAAACATTTATATTTGATTAACTAAAGTCACTCCAGCGGATATTTCACATCTGTCACATCCATAACAGTGGCATGTCACATCTAATGAAGCTTTTTCCTCAGAAAAGCAAAAAAGTTAAAATAAAATCAAATCAATATTTTTTGTTCTAGAGAGTCAGCTCTTTTACCTTTTGTTTATCATTATATCTTTTGGGTTGTGCAGTTTAATTCACAGAATTTCTACAAAGTATGTTGTTTACTGCAAACTTGCATGCTTTTTTGTCACATCCATAACGCATGTTGATTTTCCTCGTTTAAAATCTAAAAAATGTTTAGAGGATGATATTTTTATGATCCCGTAACTCTGTGATAAGTTGTTTTGAATAATATGAACAACTTAATATGAATAATATAAACAGATGTTTTAATTTAATATGAACATATACTTTCTATGTGAAGTTATGTTGTAAAAACAGGTTTTAGGGTTGTAAGCAGATTGTTGTTGTTGGTGTTGTTTTTTTAAGCCTTTGATGGGCATTGTAACCGCCTGGTTGACCTTTTATCCATAAGTTATCATTATAATGGGTTATTGTAAGAACTATCAGAGTTGTATTAGTATACATTATTCAATCCAAGATGTGGACCAAAACACTTTTTTTTTTCAAGTAGTCACCTTAAATGGTTAAGCACAAGATACCTTTTGGATCATTCTCAAATCATGCAGTGATCATCAGCTTAAAGCAATTACAACCAAAGCTATTTCTGAAATGTATTGGCACTTTTGTTACTTAGTAATTTGTTTTACAATTCAATTTTTTAAGTTCTGGGCAAATATTTATAGTGATTAGTTAAGCTATGTATGTTTTCGATAGTCTAACCATGGTTATACAATACCTTGCCTTATTACTCTAATCTGCCTAGTTAACCTAATTAACCTAGTTAAGCCTTTAAATGTCACTTTAAGCTGTATAGAAGTGTCTTAAAAAATATTTAGTCAAATATTATTTCCTGTCATCATGGCAAAGATAAAATAAATCAGTTATTAGAAATGAGTTATTAAAACTATTATGTTTAGAAATGTGTTGAAAAAAAATCAGCTCTCCATTAAACAGAAATTGGGGGAAAAATAAAGGCGGGCTAAAAATTCAGGAGATTTATTTATATATATATATATATATATATTTAATTTGTGTCATATACACATTTTATATCTAAATATAAATAAATATTTTTTTCATGTCTACTTTATTTCTTTGTCTATTTACATATGGATAATAAGTATACACAGCACACGTATGTAAAATGTCAAAACAAACATTTATTTTTATGAATTAATTATTGAATTAATATTTGCCCAGCACTCCTGATAATATAATCAAAGCATGTGAAATAGAAGCAGTTTCACTAATAGTCTTAGAAAATACATAAATGTGCTAGTTATATTTATGAAGTACTTTAAAGATTATTTTAACGTCTATTTAAAAATCTATTTACCATAACATGTCATCTATTTAAACATCTATTTACTGTAACAATGCTTGTTAATGCTCTTCATAAAAGTCATCTCACTGTGTCCACAGGGATGTTCTTCCTCTCCCTTCCGTCTGTTTGTTGTTGGCAAACTTTGAACAGTTGACCGTTTACAAATGACCACTTCATACTGTTTAGACTTGACACTTGCGAATATGCTCTGACTGAACCCGTGTGTGCTTTCTAGACCCCTGACTGTGAAAACGTCCTGTGAATGAATTCCCCATGCAGGGTCAGACAGACTGTGGAGGGTTTCCTCCTGTCCGGAAGAGGATGCTTATACTCCCAAATCTGAAACAAGGGATGGGCGATAGGCTTTATAGTGGGTCAAGCTACTGACCCACTATAATTTTATTATAGTGCGGCACAATATATAATTTTAGCATCGATATCACAAAGTGTGTGTCCACAATACACTCCAAAAAGGATTTTTGCTGCTTGTTCAAACTACTTATTTTATATGAGCTGAACCAACACAATTCTTACCTTTTTTTTAGGGAAACAACTTAAATATTTTATGTTCAATCCACTTAAATTTGTAACATTGATGAAGGTAACCATTTTGTTTTGGGACAATATGAATGAATTGTGTGGAACCCAACATTTTTTACAGTGTAGTCACATCGCAGGATCTGCAATGTTGACTAGGGAATACAGTTGACCAGGAGCTGCAGTACAGAACATGAGATTTGTGGAGTCATTGAAGATTTTTACTGTGAATAATGGAGCAAAAGTTTGATATGTTTAATCATTTGCATGTGTTTTTAAAGCCTGTGACTGTATAAGCATGTCATGAGTAGGCATGGGACGATTTTCAGAGTATACCGTTGTTTGGAAAAGTCAAGGTTTTTTTAAAACCGCCAACATTTTCTGCTATATCGTTCCTGAAATGTTAAAATGTTTAATTTTTAATTTTTTTAGGACAACAGTATGTCCAGCAGAAAATATATCCAAAGATGCTATTTTAAAATTAAGAAATTAAGAAATTAAGACAGCAGAAGTTAATGTTTCGCTTGAATTATTTAGCCTGACATGTTCCCTGTTTCAAAATATTTTAAATGTGACTCAAAATAAAATATATTGTGTTCAAAGGGGAAAAAAGTTTTTGTTTTTTACCCAGACATTTAAAAATAATTATTTTAGAGCATACAGTAATAACAATACTGGGAAACCGTGATGGTTTTATCCAAGGTTATCATACTGTACCATCAGAATCTTATACCGGCTCATGCCTAATCATGAGAGTTTAAAGCATTCAGGCAGTAAGAAATTGTACCATTTGTAAGTTTATTAAACATGATTTTATTGAATAATTTGTATAATGAAGACTATGCCGTGCTATTTTTCATTTGATTATTCAATTTTTGTACCTGAATTCTTACCAAATAGAGCGATTTAAACCATCTGGTGAAATTGTATGCATATCGCGATATAACGCAGAAATAATAAGTAACACTGGAACTTGGATTTTGTGAAAGGTTTGTTTTTGGCAAATGATAATCATTTGCACTTATTTGCCAGTACAACTAAAATTGTGTGTGAACAATCATTATCTTTATTTTTATATTTGTGTTTCTAAGGAAAAATCCTTGTTATATTATGCATGTCAGGCCAGTTGTTGACGGAGGTCCTTTTTATCCAAATCGAGTAAATAATTTCACTAATGTGGTTTCCGTACTGTGATGAGGCCTGAAAACCTGACTGAAACACTGTTGTTAATCTTTGCTAAGGAACATATTTGGGTAGAAACAACTCTTTCTAGTATTTTAGACATAAGTGGAAGAATTAAAATAGGCCTATAGTTAGCTTAGTTGCTGGGATCCAGTTGTGGTTTCTTTATAAGAGGCTTAATCAAGTACTCAGTTACAGCTACAGACAAAACATGAAATATGTGCGCACATAAAGTCACAATCTTTACTGATATTATAACGATATCTTTTTCAAAATATTTAAATAGTGTTTTAAAGTGTGTGTATTTTCAGGCTCTCAGCTGTTGTTCAACTGGCAAAACACATAAATTGTTTTGCCAGTTCAAATTTGTGTCTGTTTGCATTTGTGTTGGTCTTGAAGAAGTTGATTTGTACTTGTGAAGTGTATTTATATTTTTTGTCTAAATTATAGTCAATGGTACAATGCAGAACTTTAAAATGGTGTTAAGCAGACAGTCTACTAACACTTCAATGACTTGTGTTTGACAAAGTTACTTAAAGTAAGTAAAGAGAATGTCTAAAAGGGACCATCAAAATACAATGTTACTTACAAGTTTGGCTTGAAAATATAATACTTTCATTCAGAGAGCTGAGCTAAATTTAGGAACCAGATTTGGTTCTTGTGGTTCTTTTTATTTGTGCCACTTTGTAACACTCTAGCAACCATTGCCCCAAAGAAAAAAAAAAACATTAAAATTAGCAACCACAATTCCCCAACAAACATCTACTGTAGAAGATAATACTGTAGAACCAACAGGTCTGGAATAAAATGGTCAGACAATTCTCCAAAAGAGAATGAAAGAAATAACAGGTTCATCTTTAGTTCGCTTGACACTATGTCTAAGAAAAGAAGACTTCTACACATGATACTTTTGGAGATATTTGTAGCCTTGTGTTTGCAAGTTAGACCACAAGCTTGTCATCCTGTGTTGATGCTTGAGCGACAGGTGTGAATTTTCTTGAGAACATTTGTTCTGCATGCCTCTAATGTTTTGCACAGTTTTCCCTAATCAAATTGATTGTTGTATAATAATTAGTGCATGTCTGTAAATGTTTTCAGGAGGTGTGCAGCGCTGTGGAAGACACTGTTTGGCAGAGAATGATAACCAGTGGCTGGGTGTGAGTTTGTCCCGGCAGGCCTCAAAAGGCCATGTTTTGGTAAGTCTTAAGTCTAAGGCATGCATTCGTTATGATAGTTCCTTGTAAGTAAATGCATGTAAAATGAAGAGTCAAAGCGAAAAGTTGAAAATGGAATTAAACAAAATTGAGTTTTTTTTTCTGAACTATTATCAGTCGTCCTCCAAATAACCACCCCAATATCTTCTGGTTTGAATTTTAGGCATGTGGACATCGATGGAAGAATGTTTTCTACTCCAGTAAAGACAATCAGAACAAGCTGCCGCATGGTGTTTGCTTCAGATTCAGCCCAGATTTGAAACACGCCAGTCATATTATCCCCTGCTATAAAGGTACAGATGTCTATTACTTCTTGTTGCATTGAAATTCAAAAATTAAAACCCGGTGTAATTCTTTAAACGTCAATCAACAGCAGTTTTTGATTTATTTTTCTCACTTTAGATCATCAAAGAAGGTTTGGTGAGGGTTATGGGTCATGCCAAGCAGGAATATCAAACTCATTCACAGAGGTATATGGAGCGTCCATGGCATTTAATTGAATTTGCATTGAGTTCAGTTGATTTGTTTCAACTATACAGTACATTGTGTTTGCAGGATTTAATGGTTATGGGAGCTCCTGGTACCTCATACTGGACTGGATCTGTTCTGGTCGTCAACACAACAAGCAACATATCAGCTGCTTATGTGGATGATGACAGTGATGTTCTCTATGGCAGTTATTTAGGTGAGTTGACTAAATGGTAATGCTAGTAATAGTTAGTAAATGTAGGAAAGATAGCTTTATTTTGCTGCTCATGAGATACCTAAGTGTGTTAAGGCGCATTGTTGGCGCGTTGCTATTTTAAGGAACTGAAATAGACTGCGCAGTTGACCAACAAAAAGCTGGTCTAAAGTCTAGCGCAGATCACGTTAGCTATGTGCCTTTGCAGGTTCAAAACACATACACAATTTAATACACAAAGGATGTACAGCAATACACAAATATCTTTACATATGAACAAAATTAAAGGATTAAAGTGATACAAAAAGTATTATTTTCTACATATATATAAAAACCATTGCCTCCATGCCTTCATCTCGGGGGGCTATTTTCAGTATTTTTAAATTATTAGTAATATCCGTATTATTTATTATATGCATATTTATAATTGCTTAAATTTAAAACAAGTTCAGATTTGATCACCTGTTGGGTATAAGAATAGGTCAAAATTAGAACTGAACTTGAAAATAGTTTTGAAACAAATCCTTGCGCTTGACAAATAAATTTATCCACAAAAGTGAAGGAGAAAAGTAAAGAGTAAAAGTGAATTAAAGAGAAAGTAAAGAGGCGGAATGCAGGAGACTCGTTCTTTATCCACACACTGCAGACTCTTAAAGGGAATGGGAGATGAGACTGATGCAAAACTTGTGCAAAACACAACCATAACTCATTAAAATAATAAGTACAACCCTGTTAGACCATGCATCAGGGCACAAAATGTATTTTTCCATCCTCAAAATTGCAAAAGTGGATTCGGACACGTCCTGAATGCTTTTGCGTTATGCACTTTAGACTTAACGCCTATATCATTAAATATGTGCCCTTAATCTGAAATTATTCACTTGTAATGTTGGCTAAGAAAGCAGCTTAGTTTACAAACATGCCAACATACTAGGTTTTAAAACATGCCTAAATAGTACTATTCTTACTATTATTAGGATTATTAGTATTATTTACACTTACATTTACACATCCATGGAATCTTTTCATACCCCAAAAAAAACTAAGAATGTTTGTTTATTATTTATTTAAAATTATGTTGATTGTAAACAAGTTTTTTTTTAAGTTAAGCAACATGATCAGCTTTTTCAAATTCACTGCAGGAAACATAAAAGCTTATAATGTTTTGTATTGGAACAGGAAACAGACGCTGTTGCACAACCTGCAAATGCCTGTAATTGTTGCAAAATATGACGTGGCTGAAGTGTTGCTGTTTTTCATGTCTTGGCAACCCATCCGTAACATGGCAGTTCCTCATATTAGCTCTTGATTTTTGCATTGTATACATTGTAAACAAGTGTTGTAACCTCTAAATAAATGCATGTAAAATGTAAGTGTTAATTAGAAATATTTTTATAATAATTACTTGTTTGTTACTAATTGACCAGATTTTAGTCTTTTGAGACTCTGAATAGGCCATTGGCACATTTCACCATTATTTACAGTATGTTTTTCCCCCCATCAGGTTACTCTGTTAGTGCTGGACACTTTCTAGATCCTCAAAGCACTGAGATAGTCGGTGGTGCTCCTCAGCATGAACAGACTGGTAAAGTAAGGGTTTACACCATCACAATCATCATCCTTTTCACCTCTCTGATTATTAGCACATATCAACGCCATAACCTTGACTTGAACATTTAAGAGGACCAATTTTCTTTTAATAATAAAGCAGATTAGAAAGGATTATAGATATATTATTAATCTAGTTCTAGTTGGGAAGTAATCATTTTGAACACAGTTCCTAAATGTGCACACATTTACTCTTCTGTATGCCTAATTGTCAGGTTAAGTCACCACATACAATGCAGTCTTATCGCAAATAAATATATATCACATAAATAAATAATACTAAATTTTCATTTTTTATTTAAAATTTGGAATTTAAGAATAAAGTCAACCCTGTTTTACTTGCAGTACATGTTCTTCACATTCAATGACAGATTACATTGATCAGAAATACATATGGTTATGTTCGGGTAAATTTAGTTATTACAGAATTTAAGTAATGGCTATGATACGTATAAAGTATGTACATTTGAAACAAGACTGTAAAATTAGTATGTGTTACTAAATAGTTAGTATTTAAAAAAGGTGTTTAGTTTTCTTTACTAAGTATTGCAGTTGCCATATATTGAATCTTTTGCTACTTCAGTCTTAAATACTTCTCTTTCGGTGTTAAACATTTGCTGGGGAGTGTGGCTCTGCTTTTGTGAACTGTAAATCCTGCCTACTGTTATTGGAAAACTCAATAATTTTTACAAATGAGCACTTTGAGGTTGAAGAAAACCTGGTTAGCATGTAACTTTAAAACATTTTTGTTTAATAATGTAAAAAATGTAGTAAATAGCGGTGCAAAATGGGGCAGGAATTCCGAATATGTGACCCTGGATTGCAAAAACCAGTGTTAAGTTGCACGGGTATATTTTTTGGAATAGGCTAAATACATGATTGTACAGTTTTCTTTTATGTAAAAAATCATTAGACTATTAAGTAAAGAAGATGCTTCATGCAGACATTTTGTAAATATCCCACTGTATAAATATCATGATTCAATTTTTGATTAGCAATATGCATTTGGACAAACATTTAGTCAAATCCAAATGCTATTTTTCTTAATATTTTGGATTTTGTTACCCTTAGATTAAAAATTTTCAATGACCAAATATCATATGTCCTATCTTAATAAAGTGTACAAAAATGGAAAGCTCATTAATTCTCAATTTAAACTAAAACAAATCACACCTATGACTGGTTTTGTGTTCCAGGGTCACATATTTAGGGTTGCTAATTTGTACATTTCTACTCATTGAAGGTACATTTTGCCATGCATGTCTGTGGTTGTAGTGATTCTGCCACAGATCAAAATATGAAGTAGATTATTATTCCAATTCTCAAGCTTTCACCTTTTCCTAACAACACGAAATGCAACAAGATTCCAGTGACAAAAAATTTGGTTGCTATTTTTCTTTTCTTTTCTTTTTTTTTTAAAGATCTGAGGTTAACTATCTGCTGCCACTTTCAGTATTGCTATAAATGTCATGTAAAATGGTATTCAAACTCACACTGGTAGTATTTACCACCGAATAAAGCACAAAATCAGCATCTGAGATGATTAATTCCATAGTAGTTTATGTAGTTTTTCAGTCAAGAAATAGAAACTAATAACTCTCTACAGTAAACAATATCTTATTCTGTGATTTACAAGTGTTTTCCATTTATTTACAGTTGTTAAATGCTTTATGGGATGTTAATCTCTGCTCTGTCGACTTTTGATGTTGAGAATTCAACTTTACAGTTTAACAAAGTGACTTTTTTAAAAATTATTTTAATACCTTTAGCAGCAAGGTTGTTATGCCCTAATATACAACATCAAATCAGACAATAGATCACATTAAACTATTCTCCTGAGGGTACAAATATTGATAACATGGTCTGCAATATTAAAGGTACTGTCCAAGAAGCTTTTAAATATTATGCACTACTCATCAGTTAAACGAGTCAAAATATTAGTTCTGCAGAACTAGTAAATTAGTTCTTACGTCTTCCCCTCACACCTCATTAAGCTGCCATTCTTGTTCATTGTTTAGTCACATCCCATTTAGACTTCTGTAATTCCCTTCTGTTTGGCCTCCTTAATAAAACTTAAAAATTACGATTTTATAAATTACAACTGGTACTAAACGCTTCAGCACGTATTATCACAAAAAACTCCCTCTGTCAGTCACATCACACCCATTCCACAACAGCTTCACTAGCTTCCCATCTTTTTCAGAATTAATTATGAAATACATCTTCTCACTTTTAAAGCCGTCCACAATCTCACTCCTCCATACCTTACTAACCTTGTTCATATCGCCACATCTTCTCAAACACTCAGGTCTTCTTCTTCCATTCATCTCACTGTTCCCTCTGTGCCTTGTCACCATGGGGAGCAGATCCGTCAGCCAGTCTGCTCCTCAGCTTTGGAATTTACTTCCTCCTGATCTCTGTAATTTAGACTCTCTTTCACATTTTAAATACAAACTCAAACACATCTGCTTAGAACAGCTTATTCTCTTTAACCTGACTGCATTTTAAAGTTTGTATTGTATTCTATTGACTTTTATTGTGTTTTTATTTAAACTGATTGTTCTAGCTGTCCTGTACAGTGACCTTGAGTGTCATGAAAGGCGCCTTTAAATAAAATGCATTATAAAAAAATGGAAAATGTTCCAGTAGACCTCCGATCTTCGAGTGGATCTCAGAGTTAGGACAAGTTGCAGCTTTTGAAAAACTCTCCTACAGTTTACTTGGAAGGATTGAAATTTATTTTAATAAATGAGGAAAATTTCTGAGATTCACAATGCTAGCAAACATGTAATGAGACAAAGTAATAATTAAGGCTCTAATATTAACAGCCCCCCACCCCCCTTTTTTTTGGTTTGGTTTGGTTTACTTAAGCAATTTATATGACGTTATTTTTTTATTGTATTTATTTATTCTTTGTTCTGCTTTTATGTTAATTCTCTGCATTTGATATTCATCTGCATTATTTGAAATAAGAAAAATCAATAAAAAGTTAAAATAAAAAAACAAGTTAATAGTTGTTGAAAAAAAGATCAATGTCTTACAATACAATTTGAAAGCATAAATAAATAGGGAAAAATAAAAACATGAATCATAAAATACAAAAAAATTCACAATATTTCTTAGAGTGTAGTGCGTCGCTATTGCGGATGGTTTGGACAAAAACTTTTAAAACATGGAAAATATACCTTTTATCATGTGTCGCAGTGTTGTGTGTTGTAAGAAGACACTGTGCTGTCAGATTGTGCTGGGAAAGGTGAGAACAAAAGTGAATTTGAACACTGCCTGTTACAGCCTAAAAACTTCATCTGTTTATTTCCATACTAAGCAATGGCAAGCATGTCATGTATTCAATATATGTCTGCTGTCTTGACATCCACTCTGTGAGGCAGTTGTGAACGGTAAATCAGTTAAACTGAACTCTTCCTCCATCTGTGTGGAAAAGGAAGTAGTTTTTTTTTTCTTTTTTGCAGATGTGCTGAGTTTGCAGTGTTTATGAGTTTTGGGTTTCTAATTGTTTTACCAAGAAACAGACTGGAGAAAGAGTTATCAAGGAGCTGCCATACATTTTTTTGTTATGAAACACACAGAATTGTAAAATTCACCAGCGTATACAATCTATTGTGTGCTTTTTCCACCAATTCTCATGCTCTCATTTTTTCCTCTCTCTTAGGCCTACATATTTAGGATTGAGGGCAACACTTTGAAAATTGTTAACAAAACCAAGGGCAAGACGGTAAGAAATGTCAAGAATTTTAAGTGTTCCTGAAGGATGTTCGGACACAATAGTCATGTTTGTTCCTGTTTACAGCTTGGCTCTTATTATGGGGCGAGTGTTTGTGCTGTCGACCTGAACGCAGATGGACTGTCTGATCTGTTGGTTGGAGCGCCAATGTTCAGCTCAGTGCGGGAAGAGGGACGCGTGTATGTTTACATCAACCAGGGAGAGGTGAGGCAGTGTTCATTGCTTTGATGCATACTTATTGGTTGTTTTTTATAGATGATTCTAACAAAAATAAAAAATAAAAATAGCCTAAAATGTTATTTTGATTGATTGATTGATTGATTGATTCATTGATTGATTCATTGATTGATTGATTGATTCATTCATTCATTCATTCATTCATGCAATAATTTGTGCATTCATTTATTTATTGTTTTATGAATTCATTCAATATTTCATACATTAATTCATTTATTATTTTAAAGATTTATTCTTTCTTTCTTTCTTTCTTTTTCTTTCTTTCTTTCTTTCTTTCTTTCTTTCTTTTTTTCTTTCTTTCTTTCTTTCTTTCTTTCTTTCTTTCTTAATTTTTTTGTTCCTTCTTTCATTCATTATTTCATACATGCATTCATACATACATTCATGCATTCGTTTAATATTTATTTTATGCATTCATTCATTATTTCATGTATTAATTTATTTATTTATTTCATGCATGCATTCATTCTTGCATTCATTCATTTATTAATTATGTCATGCATTCATTAATTCATTAGTTCTTTCTTTCATGCATTCATTCATTCATTCATTCATTTATTCTTTCTTTCTTTCATGCATTCATTCTTTTATGCATTCTTTCATTCATTCAATCATGAAGTCTTTCATGGATTAATTGATTTGTTCTTTCATGCATTTATTAATTCATTAATGCATTCATTCATTCAGCCATTCTTTCATGCAAGCACGCTCATTTTTAGAACCATTAAAATGTGTGTTTATTATAATAAATGTATATTATAATAATGTAAATTTTTACTTATTTAGTATATGTATGCATGTAACATATGTATATGTATATATCACATGTATATGTATATATCACACACTCTAAAATTAAAATGTAACATTTTTGACTTTTTATTTTAAAAAATGTTACTTAAAACATTAAAATAAACACTAAAATGTATAGTAATAAAAACATGTCTGTACTTTATGCTTACTGAACCTAAATAGGAGAATTAAATTTTATATGCATATCAATATCATATTTTGACACTTGTCTTTAATTCAGCATTTAAGACCAATATTGTCATTTATTTTATTTATTTATTTTTTATTTTTTTGGCAAAAACAAGAAACGTAGCTATAGTGTATGTTTTTAAAACAGTGTCTTAAACATAATTTATTAATAATAATAATAATAATAATAATAATAATAATAATAATAATGTTAGGGGTTATCCTTTTCTTTATTGTTTTTTATTTTGGGGATGATATCTGAAAGCAATTTATTCTAGGCAGTTTTCATAAGATACACCCATTTATTCTTAACTGTAATGATCATTTTAGGGCGTCAACAGTGTTTACAGTCTTCTGCAATACATAAGATAAAATGACTCATCTGCATATTTTCAGCCGGCTTATCTCATTGTTTTGAATGTTCTGTGTAAAGGATGTTTTTCAGCAATATCACAAAAGCCATACTAACATAGCATGTTTCCAGTTCTCATGAGAGAAACAAAAAATAATCACCGAGTACCAATTACCACAGTGTTTCTAGCACTTTACTATTTTCATTTACTTAATTTGTTTTCCTCAGTACTAGCTAGCTGAAACAAAGGTTGCACATTTTTAAAGTACATGCTTTTAAAGTACACAAAAAGGGTTGGTTGACAGGCTGTTTGCTTTAAATAAACAGTGGAAACATGACTCAATGTGTGGGAAGTGTAAAACTTGTGAATTTAAATGAGTTGAGAGACGCAAGAATTGCATACATTATATGATTTTAGTGTTTTCAGATTTTGTATCTGCTAACTACAACAGGCTTGTCTTGAAAATATCTTGTCTCTTTTTCAGGCTGAACTGAAGGAGGCTGACTTTGAGTTAGTCGGCAGTGACTCTTATGCCGCACGATTTGGAGAAACCATCATAAACCTCGGTGATATTGATGATGATGGATATCCAGGTATGTTTATGTTGTATGATGTTTCTACTGATGAATTACTTTGACTAGCCGAGTGTCCTAAAATCTATTTATCTGAGTTTTAAAGGAAGCATTGGGGTTTGTGTGTTCTTCAGGCAAAGTTAGATGGTAAACCTCAGTTTTTCACTTCCTTGCTCTTGTGTTGTGTTTACTTTATATTTTAAAAGCCCATCACCGAGGCTGCATTTTCACATTAGCACATAAACCATGAGTGGTTTTAATGGGTAGACGGGCTGTTCTCTGAATCAGATTTAGAGGTAAGTTTGGCAGGTGTGGTTTAGAAATAGAAAATGTTGAAAGGAAATAAGTAACCAAAAAGTTTCTGTGAAACACCACGGCTCTTTGAAAGCGGGAAACACAGACTCATACATTCTTGTATTACATTGTTGTTACAGTCAAACACATTTTTAGGTTACACTTTATTTTGATGGGGGATGTAGTTTACAGTGTAACTATTAATTTAACTATTAAGTAATATTATTTAATTAGATGTACTACTTGCTATGTGGTTGAGGTTAGACTGAGGGGTTAGGTTTGGGGTTAGTTCTGTGTAATTATGCATAATTCATTGCATTTACTATAGTTAGTTCATGGAACATGTGTAACTACATTACTTTAAATGAAAGTGTTACCTGTTTTTATGAAAATATTGTCATGATTAAAAATGGTTTATAGTATTTGGTGTATTTTACGTCAAAATCACATGCACTTGTTGAGGTTTCTGTCAGCCCACACAAAAATACAAAATATTTGTATTTTTTAACAGGGAATTTTCAAATGTGCAAATACTTTATTAACTGAATATAGATTGATGACCAAATGATATCTGGGGTAATTGCTCAGTACTTCATTAAACAACAAAAATAGATTTTGAAATGTTGAGTTAAGGCAGAATTTAACAGTCATTCTGTGAATATTGACATTATTAATGCAGATTTTTATTTGGTAAATTAAGTGCTTTTTAATAAAGTAAATCTCAGCTGACAACGTCACATTGTTTATTACTTATTAGAGCTGTCAAAACTAGGCATTTATTCGTTGTATTTACATTTTCAAATACAACAAAAATAATGCACACATAAGATTTAATTAATATGCCTCCAAATATTGGATAAAGCTTTTACAGATTAATGATGTAGCTTATGGAATACTGTCATATATACCTCTAAATATGATTTACTGGTAATAAAATTTGCCCAAACATAAGTCTTATCCAAAACATATTTCTGTATTTTTTTTTAGAACAGGTTAATTTTGTTTAATTTTGGGAATAAAATTAACACAACTCTCTTTACTAGCCACTATAAAGGGGCATATGAGTGTATTATGCCTTGCTGGGAAATCCACTAATCATAGAGGCTCCAGATTCTCTATCAATTCAGACTTTCTAGTAGTACACACATTTTTAGCACATTAGTAATGTTTTTTTCTTAAATGTTACAAAGCACTTGCATATGCAGTGCTTTGTTGAAATATGACAAAAAAAGATATTACATTACCATTCAAAAGACTGGAGTCAGTAGAAATGTGTTAACAGATTAATATTTGTGTCCAGCAACGATGCATTCAATTGATTTAAATTAAGACCAAAGTTTCAGGTTTGTAAATAAATGTTTGTTTTTACTTTTCATTAAAGAGGAATTTTTTTTTTAATTATAAAAATATTATGGTAACACTGGCTCTTTCTCAATTCCAAGAACTCTAAGAAGGGACTTGCTTTCTTATAAAGACCAGTCTTGACTAGTTACCTCGCAAGAGCCGCTTTTCACAAAATATACTATGCATAGAGACCTT